GTGGGTGAGGGATGAGAGAGAGAGTACGGTAAATACTACGCAGGTCCGCCTCACCGTGAACTACTTCACAATACAGGCGTTGTTGATGGTAGACATTTCCGACAGATGGGCGACCTGGGCCAAGGTGAAAGAGTGAAACTGATTGAATCTCACCATCAGCATTCACGACCAGAGCATCAGAGGACATTCATTATACAATGCTAGATGGGGTTGGTTCACATCAATCAACCTTTCTGGTGTATCCCGCTATAATAAGTATAACTTTAACTGCTAGCGTGCTGGATTGAGCATTTTGTCATGACAAAAGGCAAAAACGCAAGTACACAGAAACTATCACCATGCACCTAATCTAAGTTGCATAAATTCAGATGTGGTTGGCTAGATAAATCTCCGGTTCTAGATAATTTAAGGTAGGGATTTAAAATTATTCCTTTTCGACGAATGAAGTTTTTAATTTCCGAAAAAAGTCCAGTAAACCTTGAAAAAGTTTTTTTTCTGTGGCACATAATGTTGATGATAGGGTTTAGGACCCCGAGTAGATGACAACTCCGAAAATTCCCTAGAATTCAATGTGACTGTAAACATCACATATTATTCACCGTTCGCGTTGCTTGAAATTCGCTTCGTTCCTGAGTAAATGTAAACGTATCATCGGCGCTTTGTCTAAAGTCCGTTAATTTTTGATAATATTTTTCGATCAATTTTTAATTATCGCACTCATGTTGCCAAATGACGCTGTACGCCAAGGCTTTCGACAGAAATTTATCTTTTTTCTGTGTCTTCCTGCTATCCGTCCTGTTTGCTGCCCCACCCATAAAACCCCCTTTGCCATAATTCAACGTATGACACGGTCCACAGGATAGTTCATGTTAACTGTGGGTGGACTTGCTGGCTCCTGTAGCGAATACCGCGCTCGCTAGCTGTCCATCTCGTGTCGTACAGAGTTCGACCCCCATCACCTTTCATTCGTCTGCCGGTTGGTTGGATCAGCGCCCTTGGATCTGATAGGCAATCTTGTAGAACGATATGACGGATGATCAGCCGCACGTCTGATCGACCTAGCAGCAGGAAAACCGACTTCCTAAGACGTCGGGTCGAATAGGATCCAGCGCCCATCAGCTTCCGCTTATCTGCCGGTCGGTTAAACCAGTCTCTTCAAATCTTATAGCCAATAACGTAGGGGGATTACTGCTCATTCACTCCCTCCCTCCCTATCCCATCTAATTTGTTCACCTCATACAGGCTGGGACGCTCGGCTTTAGTGCAGTTACTGGCGACTTCGCAAAGTGCAACTCCATTACATAAACTCTGGACAATGTTGTCCGATATGCAAGCCAGCAGCAGTACGCAGATCTTGTCTGACAGCGCCTTCCATTACGCTTTGTCTAGTCATTTGATGCATCTCAACCAACAGCCGTAGACAGCCGATGTCTCTGACGACTCCTCAGGACCGCTTAACGACGACTTTGTTGCAATGAGATTCCAGTTGTCAGTGTGGGGGTGTGAACACGCATCTACAGCGTGCTCGTCTGCCTTCTCTAGGCAGCCGTTTCCAAGTGGTCGTCAGGTTCGCGACAGACAAGAACTTCCAAGAATAGTAGTTTATTCTCCACCCACCATAGCCCGTGAATGCGGCGACCCCAACAGCATTACGGCGTACCTATGACGTGTTGTTCACAATGCCTGCGAGGAGGGTACTAGCACAGACATTCCCTAGTAATTTCATCCCGTGCCTTAATTGTGCATTTCATACTAGGCCCCGAATCGTTTAAGTACTGTGACCCATCCGTATAATGGCATGTCAGTATGATTAAATTCTGATATCAATATAAACATTTAATCGGCTAATTCTCTTACTTAATGGCGTACACCGCCGCCAAGCACATATAAGTTGAGCGCAGTTTCAAATGTGTTATTTTAGAGGTGGAAAGTCTAATGTCGGCTGACAAACTAGAGTTTAAGTAAACGAATCTGCTGGACATGCTGGCGAAGGTGTCATTTCCGATGTCGATGGCCAAATTCAGACGACTTCTGCAAAATAGTAAGAACCAATCATGTAAGCATGGATTTGGGGTGAGTGGTTGTTTTCCATTAATGTCAGTTATGCTGATTAAAATTAAAAATCTGACAGTCAGCATTTGAATGTAGAAATTGCACATTTGTACTGCACGAAGGATGGAACTTTGTTGCAGCAACGAAGCCGATATCAATAAGTGGTTATTTTAACACTGTCACGCACGCAAACCAACCTCAGGAAAAAGTCAGAACACTGTCTGATACCTGGAAAACAGAACAAACTGAAAAATGCACTATAATCCGTCAGTTACTGTCGTTCATTGGCAGCTGGTTTTATTTTTACCAGAATGGAAATGAACTCATTTTAGAAGAAGCGAACCTACAAAGGTCAAAAAGTTCCTGACAGCTTTCTTCGTATGGGCATACGTCTGCCGCTAAGTAAGACCCATACTAATGGAAATTTATATTCAGCACACGGCGTCTTAAGATGAAGGCAGTTCTTGAGACGGATTACGCGTCTTTATTATCATCAAAATGAGTAATTTTCTTATTTCGGGAGGTGTTAAATCTATCAGTCATACTTCTTTGTTTCCAAAGGGGGAATCATTTGACGAATATGGAAGTCTTCACAACCTTTCAGCGTACTGCACTTTTTTATGATGACGAATCAACACCCGAGAGACACTAAAGCTGCGGATTCGTTCCATCCTTAACTTACCCTGAACGGTCTTCGCTGAAGACTTTGTATTTTCACACAAGTGTGACCATGTGTTTCTTGCGCCGGCCAGACTCCACTTTATGGTATTCATTTTCTGAGAGATCGCAGGCCAAGCTGTCCAAAATGACTTCCACGGCATCGGAGGAAGGACTGAGATCAGTCGACAGAATTGCTATAACTGCCTTTGCCAGCAAAGTTCGGTATGCTGTAACAAACATTCCTCATCCGGATATTATTGTCTCCCATAACATTTCAGAGGACCCCAGGGGCGTAAGTGATTTGATTTAACGTAAAAAGGAACACTGCTGAATTAATGAGGATGTCTGGGGGCGGTATTTAACAACCTAAATTGCTCAATCACTCAGGCAGTTTACAATCCGGTCAACTGCCAGTGCGACCGCTGGAATAAGACGTTTATTTGATTGGAGTACCTACTTCTCACTCCAACCGACCGTACGAAGCAGTCGCAGATAACGGACATGAGCACATGGGCCGAATGCCTATTGAACGACCGTTAGTCCCATGCTGCACCGAAACTTTTGCAGTTCACCGTTTAGCTTCGACAGTAGCGCCTTCTCATTGTCATGAAATACCAACGTATACCGAAGTAGATGAGGATCCGGTCACTGAAGACGTTTCGGATCCTCACTCGAGCCCATCATCAGTGACAGTCTCGGTTAAGGACAGTAGAGGCACAAACAGTGCAGCATATATATACATAATACGCAGCTGCAGAGGGACCATGTGTGTCCGGTTCTCACACGCGACCCAGCGGATTTACAGTAGGTGGGCTAACTCGTGAAATTTAAACCGAAATTTCTAAATGCGTTCTCGTTTCGAAAAGATTAGTTAAGCAAGGTTGTAAAACTAATCATCTTACAGCATAATTATAGAATGATCCAGTTACCTCAGGGTGCCGGCTTTCGAATGAACTTATTTCCGACTGCATGCAAAAACTACATTCTGCAAAAATGACCACTTAGTTAGCATGCAATTTCCCCATTGATTTTCGATGCCCTTAAAAATGCAACTATATTTCTTAGAAAAATGCATAGAAATAAACATTTTCGCACTTACTCGGTAGAAAACCACGTCTTCTCCTCATTTCATACTCGAAGGAAGAGTATAATTTGGTTTCAAAAACTTTTCTAATTCACGAATGATTCTGAACCCGACCTTCTGTTACACTTGCACTCAGGGTTTCCAAACTACAAGCTGTATATTTTCATGTACGGAAAACCATGCATTTCTCTACAGTATTAAGAGGAGACAATATGGGGTTCATAAAACCAAGCAGTGAATTCGAGCAATACTGTTAACTTTACAAACCACATTGGTACATACAGATACATGGCGTTTTATGAACGTCCATTTCACGGTATTAAAAAATCTCACAATTAGAAACTGTTGAAACCGAATTATACTCCTCCTTCAAGTATAAAATTGAAAGAAGACGTATTTTTACCAAATAAATAAAAGACTGAGTATTTTTATGTATTTTTTCATAAAATATAATTGATATTTTTAGGGCATTGAAAATGGCATGATAACTAAGCAGGCATTTTTTGCCGACTATAGATATTGCCTGCAGTCGGATATAAATTCGTTGGAATAAAGACACCCTGAGGTAACTGGATCATTATAGAATTACACTGGATGAAGCAGGTCCACCTGATCTAATTTCGAGCTGTTGAAGTTCGTCGTTTATCTTCGACAGTCCCGCCTTTTCATCGTAATGAAATGTCAGCATATACCGAAGTAGATGAAGATTCGGCCACTGGTGCAAGAGGTTTACTGGATTGACGTTTCGGATTCTCACTCGAGTCCATCATCAGAGACAGTCGCAGTAAAGGGTATTGGAGGCACAAACAGTGCAGCATATATATACTACGTAGTTGCCCAGGAACCATGTGCGTACTATAACTAACAGCTCTTGCAATCACCGCTGGGAATGGTGATTAATGGCTCATCAGTCTCCGTCCGGGTAGTGAATAACCGCAGCCTCATCTTACGTGTTGGATGTTGGCGTGATGATGACTCGATAATTTGACTCGTCGTCACTTGGTTGTTGCTTAACGCGCCCACAGAATGCCGCAGCACCAAATACGATACCGAAAGGTCATTGTCCCTACTTAAGGATTGCCAGCCTGAGAACCATAACTTGAGGAGCTCGCGGCTTACGCGGTTATCATCTCTTGCAAAAATTTCGGCCTCCCAATACTTGAAAATATGGCCGCTTCCCGCGGAATCGGCTGCCACCTGAGAGCTAGCGTCTTTCGTTGTCGTCGTCGTCGTCGTCGTCGTCGTCGTCGTCGTCGTCGTCGTCCTCCTCGTCCTCCTCCTCATCGCTGCTGCTTGCTTGGTCATCCGCGTCCATAGTAATCTCCCGGTTTCTCCGACGTAGTTGCTCTGTCCGCAACTGCAGCAGACCAGGTAATCGACTCCAGACGTCTTCTGCAGTGGTAATGAGTCTTTAATCCTCATAACCTGGCGCACGATGGCTGCTTCCGGCCTGTGTTCAACACCGGTTATAAGTGGTACGAAAAGGCGACTACGGCGTCCGAGATGTTTTTCGCGTACAGAAGAGCTCGCCAAAATTTAGGGCTAGTGCGATTTGGTCTCTGGTGTTGAAACTGTCCAACAACGTTAGGAGTCGCTGGTTTCCCGACACCGCAGACCGAGATTGTGGGCTCGGTATGTGGATGATACCTTCTTCGTCGTCGTCATAGGGGACCAGGTGTTGGCATTCGAAGAAATTCTCAAAAGCGTCTTCTCGGGAGTACAATTTACGCAGGAGGGAGGAAGAAAACAATCATTTGGCCTTTCTAAATGTTCTCTATTGCCCTAAAGATGGTGGTGGCTTTAAACCTAACTGTTTTTGGAAAACGACAAATATTACGCAAGCACTAATCTTTAAAAGTAGCCACTAGGTCAGTCACAAACACAGTTGCTTTAGGGTGCGTTAAGACGAACGATATGCCACGAGTGCCATGTCAGAAAGGCAGTAAGTAAAACCGGTTGGTAGAATCAAATGAACTGACCGCAGAGCACGCCAGCGACGCGGGGGTTGTCTTGCGGAGTTGTGTCCGCTACGTCAAAAAGGCAAAACAGTAAAAGAAAGGTGGTTTAGTCCGGTGCCTCAGCACAAGGTCACTGAATCAAAATATTTTTAACGGGTTCTGAGGGCTAGTAGCTACCCGCCAAGGTTTGTCAGCCAGCGCGTACGTAAAGGACACCAGAGATGAAATCCAACAGGCCCTAAATTTTGGCGAATCCCTCCGTACGTGATGTACTTTTTTAATTTCTCCCTGTGGACTGTCCAAAAATGTTCAATAAAGTTATTTCATTTAGGCTGTGGAATCAAAACTGTTCCGGATATTTCTATCACAGGTCGTGGGCATAATGCTTATGGATTGAACGGGAATGGAATTGAGGGCGTTTTAATGGATTAGGTGAGAAGCCACACGCATTAGTTTGATGCGGAGCGAGGGGGCGTATAAGCGATTGTAACCAAACGTGCTCTCTAAGCCCTCCCCCTATGTACTTGGTTTAATGGCCGAATACCCACCTGGCATTCTCTATGTGAGCCGGGAAAGGGGACGCCAGGCTGACCAGAACCCCTCTGGAACATGTCTTAGTTTGGGCTTAACTCTCTGCCAGTCAGTATGTTCAATTTTGGCAAACCCAACCCACAGACAGAAGCAGAACAGAACGTTCCCCACACCGCGACACCGTTCGCATTCAAAACAAATACACGACACACCACAAACACAAACACGATCAGCCCTTTTTATAGTGGCACTAAGCATCCTCCGGCCAAATAAACGCATCAGCCAGTATTTCTCGAAATACTCAATATAATGCAGGGAGAATCTCAAGAGGCACGACATGTTTTACCGCAAATCATAAACATTTCCCTGCTGCGAGACTAGGTGTTGGAACTGCATACCACCCAGAACTACCGCACACAGCACGATCGTGCACCGTAAGTATCGATTGAAGAGCTGGTAGATTTTGAATTGACCACTTATTCAGGTATTTGTAGGAATAAATAGCCTTTTACTTTTCGTGCTTATTAACTCCGGTTAATATGAGGCACCAATGTGATTACGAATTATGCCCATAACATAAGAGGTTAAACTCGAACTAGCAGAATCAGTACGCACGGACTGGTTGTGAATGTTTAACGGCGTGTGTGACGAAAGGCAAATCCAGAATCCGTCAGAGGGCCAATTGTGTTGGTCGCTGCCGCCAGAATATGGCATTCTGAGCTGGTGGCTAGGGTCGCTGACAACTGATAAGTGACGACACCTTGACGCCAAGTTATCTTCTGGAACATAGAGAAGTTACTTTGAGCGTAGCTTCCATATCTTGGCAATTTTTAGGAAAGGGCGGCGGACTCTCATTGAACCCTCATGCATATTCGCTGACTCATGTATTCATGCCGACAGCCGCGAACAGTCGACTGCTGCATTGGAGAAGGAAGAGAAAGCGAGCCCGACATTGGTGAATCGAGAGACTCAGCACATGAACGCATTCCTCGCCATCGTAACTACAACGTGATGACGCCCATCAAGGTGCGCCAGGTTTAGAGCTTAAGAGGAGGATTAACTAGTTATGAAAACAAGGTATTTTTCGGGCCGAAATTATGACAGCGTGAATCAGTCTTCGGTCGACGCTCCCAGTAATTGTGTTGCCAGGGTTTCATCATGCGGTTCCCATACCTGACTTGATTCGTAGAACGACCACCCCAACAGTGCAGGTGCCATTTTCCGTAAGTCTGAACTAGATTCCTTACCCAGCCCTTATTGATCTAAATGCATTATCAGTTACCCGATAGCGTTCCTTAGCAGTTTCGTTACATACATACATTCAAGCTTCATGCCAAACCTGAAATGTGGCACTTGGAAGCCTTTGCAAATTGATTCCTCAATCATTGGTAGGGGGCGCTAACCGATCGTTCATACGGGACTCACTCGTTCCGTTGTGCCTTAAGGGCTCTTTCTCGAGCCCAACCAGCAGCCGCACAGCGGCGCATGATATATAGGCAGAATACTATTACCGACAAAGACGAGGGAGACTGGAATGGCCATTTCTGGCTTATTAGCCGTCGTCAGCCGGTCATACCCAAGCCCGAAGTTTGGTACACCCGAGCCTCGAACTCGCGACCTGTTGGTTTAGAGGTTTAAAGCACAAGGGAACAGTAAGTCCCGTATGAACGATCGGTGAGCGCCCCCTAACATTGTATATTCCCGATCGAAAGCCGACGGTGCAACGGGCTCGTGGCTCGGTGGGTAGAGGCGTGGAATCCTAAACCGACAGGTCGCGAGTTCGAGGCTCGGGTGTTCCACACTTCGGGCTTGGGTATGGCTGGCTGACGACGGCTAATAAGCCAGAAATGGCCATTCCAGTCTCCCTTGTCTTTGCCGGTAATACAATTCTTCAATTATTCCCGTCACGCAGCTGAACCTGTACGCACTAGGCGAACTTTCATCGGAAAGCATATTTAGTAGGTTGAGGAAGGGACTGTAGGTATCACGCATAAATCACATGGACATAAAAAATGAGAGAAACAGACAGAGGTGTCAAGGTCAGCATATATGGCGCCCTTAAACAGCAGCTCATAGAGACAGAACTGATGTCGACTGCAGTGCACTTTGATACAAGTACATCACGTGTGATCTCTCAGAGGGGTAATTTGGCAGGTGTGTTGCATAGACAGTAAGAGTAGAAGTCGTTATCCAGACGTCTAAAGATTCTCCGAATGACTCACCATCTGACAGGGTTATTAAGCTACCTCAGTGGTTGGGAATAATGTGCCAAATAGTACCAACATCACTGGAGAAGATACCAAAGAAACTTGCTAGAAACGCACGTGAAACAAATGGCTGTCAACAAATATCGTAATTTAAAAGTTGTGGTACTCACAAAGTACGTTCTGCGCCTTGTTCAAAATACGGCTGAGAATACAACTGACCGCTACCCTGTCCTCAGTAATAGTTCAAATCCATTTCGGCCCAAGATTGTCCGTAAACCCTGCGTACGCCGTCAAAAGCGCTTTACTTAGTAGCCGACATTATCTGTCTTTACCGTTACTGCGACATGTTCAATCCAAAACGTATTGTAACTCCTGGGCATCTGTTACCCATATCTGACGCAGTCTCTGATTGTGGGCTCGAGTTTGAATGAATTATATCCTCGAACAGCAAATCATATTGGCAGAACTGATGTTGACTGCAGTGCACTTTGAGAGAGTTGGAGCACCTGCAATCTCTCAAGGGGTATTTTGGCAGATGTGAGGCATGAAGCGCACAGACAGTAAGACTAGACGTCCTTATCCAGGGGTCTAAAGTTGCTCCAAATGACACGACATCTGGCATAATTACTAACCGACGCAAGTGTCTGTGAATGACATGTCAAACAGCACCAACACCAGTGAAGTAGATATCCGTGAATAGTGCATTTTAAGCATATGTCAAAATCGGTCTACGCATCCCAGCCCAATTGGAAATCGGATGGCTGCGTTGTCTGCCTTCTGTTGATGGGGTGTCGACAGCCACGAATACTTGACAGCTGCACAGGGGAGGGCAGAGGAAGCGAGCCCAAAATCGACGAATCCACAGTCGCAGCACAGGAACGCATTTCACACTATTGTAAAATATAGCGTTTCGATCCGTCAGGGTGTGATAGGGGTCGTTGTGTAGGAGAGAGTCAACTGACTGAATAATTCGGTCTTCCCCCAGACAGAGATTATGGCAGCGTGACCCAGTTTTCGGTGGACTCACCTAGTAAGCGTGACGCCAGAATTTACCATGCGGTTCCCATGCCTCACTGGAGTCGTAGAAAGACTAACCCGACCTTGGAGTAACCACTGTCTGCAAATATGAACTACAGTCCTTGCCCATCCCTTGTAGGTTTAAATGCATCTCAGTTCCTCGATGGCGCTCCTTGGCGGTTTCATTGCATGCACGCATCTGAGCTTGATGTCAAACCTCAAATGTGACGTCTGGAAGCATTTACAGATTCAGCCTCCAATTATATCCGACAAAATGCTGAAACAGTGCGTACTGGATGGACCTTCATTAGAAAGCATATGAGGAGGGTTAAGGAAGGGATTGGAGGTATCACGCATGAGTCATCCTGGCATAAAATATCCAGCGAAACACGTGCGGGGTTACTGTAGTTATATGTAAAACATGTGGCGTTAGCGTAATGACGGATGATGTCAGCTCCTACGTGCAGCCCTCTTGACGGCGTACACAGGGTTTACTGACAATTATGCACCAGCACGGATTTGAAACATTCCTGTGGGCAGGGCGGTGGCGGTGGTCATTTGTATTCTCAGCTCTTATTCGAACAAGGCACAAAACTCAGTTCATGAGTATGACAACCATCAAATTACGATAGGTCTTGACAAACATTTACTATACCTGTTTATTTTGCAAGTCTTGTTTCCTTAGTCTGCGGCTGAGACTGCGTTTGTCGGCCTGTCGAATAGCGAACTTTCATTGATGAGGTATATATGGTTGCACGGTGTGTTCTTTTGAGCAGACAAACGCTCTCAACATAAAAAACCTTGGCAAACGTATACCATTCTTTTTTACAGTTTGTCGTGCATACATCGTACGAAGGCAGTGGTCGTTTTATTTATCTTATGACTGCTTTGTTTCCCACTCTTTACGCTAAGGCAAAAGTTCGATTGCAAAAATTGCGCCACATTGGTGTTATACCACTGTTAAACAATTCCTCAGTCTCGTCATACGCCGTATGCACTGTTTATCTAATAACACAGTCGAAGGGCACATTCATGTCCTTTGCATTCGCACGTTCCATCTAAAAATTACTTTGTGCCATGAGGCATGCCGCAATTATTAGCTTGCATGAATCCGCTTTTTGCTCAGCATGAAGACGCAGTGAGGATAGCACGGTCTTAAAAATCTCATAATTAAAACCTTTTAAAGACCCAAATATACACTTTCGTCGAGCATAAAATATGGAGACAGTGTGATCTCCCTCCAAATGAGCAAAATAAAGCATATATTAGTGCATGTTTTCTGTAGAAGATATTCAAATTTTTAAGACAACTGAAAATCAATAGGAAAAATGCATGCTTAATAGATAGTCATTTTTCACCAAGTGTGGTTTCTGCAGGGGGTCAGAAATAAGTGCATTAAAAAGCCGACATACTGCCGAGTCCGAAATGTTATAGGCTTATGCTGCATGAAAATCAGTATAATAAGCAATCTTAAGTAATCCTTCCCTGTCGGAAACGCATTCCAGAACTTTGACTAGCATTTCTTGCGACCGGTCACGCACTGTACGTGCTATGGTGTGGGATTATGTTGAGTGCTAAGAACTTTTCTAAATGTTCGAGGCTCGGGTGTTCCACACTTCGGGCTTTGGTATGGCTGGCTGACGACGGCTAATAGGCCAGAAATGGCCATTCCAGTCTCCCTTGTCTTTGTCGGTAATACTATTCTGCCTAAATAAGAACTATATCAGTGGGAAGTTCACGGCCAAAATTTGTACCTAAAATAATTTAACACCGACAGGATGTCATGTGGCGGTCGAGCGTGGTATGTAGATTGCAACCGTTTTCATTAAAGTAACGTTCCATAGAGCACTAGGAGTGGGATGGACAGTGATAGAACGAAAATCCGTTATTTGGCTTGAGAGAAATGGCAGTTCAGTCGTCGTGATCGACGACGTCGACCGCGTACACCACAGCACCGGCGACTTAAGGCCCACTTGCAAATTCGCTTGGAGCACACCGTAGACAACCGCCGCGCAGGTAGAAAAATAGTCAAAAAATCACGCAGGCCAGTCTACAGCCCACAGTCTACAGGCCACATCCGACGCAATCTCACACCACAGTGGTGCAACCAGCTTTGTCTTGATAATCGAATTTTCGTTTAAACGCCTTCTAGAGCATGCTGCTAGATAAGATTATTTCCTGACACGTTAGCGTGAGGCTAAAGGCTTTACCATTACTGCGCTAGAAGATTACGGGCGTCACAAAATTATCAGAAGGCATTTGCAGAATGCATCCCTCCCAGGATGTGGTGTGCGTCCGTATAAATACGAAAACGTGACACCAGACCAAACAAGTTATTGGAAAACGGTGATCTAATCAAACATAAGATAGTGCTTTCATGCATAACCAACTGAATACGATTATATTTTCTATGCAAATAAATCATGTCTTTGAAAACCTACTAGCGCGCCAAGAATGGCAATACAGAACCTCAAAAAACCGATGTGAGACAAGACATAAGGCGAAAGTCGCGGCGCATAGAGCGGGAAGACCTCGCAGAAATAAGATCAGAATGCAAGGAATGGGCAACGTCATCTATAATCCGACCAGCAAATTGCCTAACCGAATTGAAATGTCGTTGTAGGATAATAGCGAATAAAAGAGATAAGAAACACCGGCAGCAGAAAAAAGCACTCGGAGGACTCGTTTTAAAATGAGAGGAGAGCAGTATAGGATAAGAGCAAGAATGCAGGCATCTATGAATCGTCAGATGTGTGGTAGGAACGTAAACGACATACGTTATAAAGACGTTTACGAAATTTAGTAAATAGGGACTAAGTATAGAGGGAAAATGAAAGATTTGACGACAAAGTAACACCAAAGTACCCGAAAGGGGATAGCTCGTTGGGAAAGATGTCAGAGGATTCAGGACTAGGAGAAGGCCGCAGTCGGAAAATACAGTGGACTGATTTTTGGTTGTTCATTAGGAGATCATTTTCCTCCGGCCATACTAGGACATGGTTAAGGCCATGCATTAGAGACTGGAGGTGTGTCCAATTTTTTGAGAAAGTGTCCAACAACCATATTATAAACATACTTAACTAAAAGGCAATCGTTAGGGAATATTAAAGCATCGGTGTGGATGGAGAAAAGGTGAGGAGATAGAATGGAACCTTGAATAACTCCGCATTAATTTGGAAGGAGAGGAAAGGCGCCAGTTCCGTGATACGGCTAGTTTGTGCATTACGTGGGAGTGTGGGCTCATCGGAATTATTTGTATGGTTCTTGCATTAAAAAAACCTAGGTAAAGTCCACGGTTAATGTTTTCCTTTAAAATACCTTTAATTTACTGAAATTAGTTGACATTCTATAAAAGACCCAGACAACACCCTTTGGAAAGCGGACATTTTATGTAAAGTCTAAAAGCATGTAGATATAAAAAGAGAGAGAGAGAGGAAATCGCTTTATTTTAAAATCATAGACTTAAACGTTTCAGCAAGCAAATTGGCTCCATTTCCTATTAGTAGTTCATAAGTTGATATATTATTCCAGAGCCAAGACATTTAACACAAAAGAAACGATTATTATGAGGACAGTTCAAGTCCTATCTTCTGCATTTATATCTCTTCACACGTAAGATAGTGCGTTAGAAATGGCAATGCAGAAGTTCAAAAAGCCGATGTGTGTCAAGGCATAAGTCGAAACCGCAGCGTATCGGTCGGGACGACTTCGCAGCAATAAGATCAGAATGCAAGGGAAAGGCAACGTCATCTATAATCCGACCACGAAATTGTTTGACCGTATTGAAATGTCGTTGCAGGATAATATCAACTAAAATGATAAGGAACACCAGCGGCAAAAGAGAGCATTTGGAGGACTCATTTTAATATTAGAAGATTCTTTTTGAGCAAAGCAGGAAAAATGACAGTATAATAATATAGGATCAGAGGAGGAAGCCCGGCATGGATGAAACGTCACACTAAGGGGCGAGGTGTGTGGTAGGAGCGTAAACGACGAATTTAATAAAGACGTTTACGTAGTTTAGTAAATAGGGCTCACTAGGGAGGGAAAATGGAAGATTTTATGACAACGTAACGCCAAGTTACCTGAAAGAGGATACCCCATTAGGAAGGATGTCATGGTATTCAAGACTAAGAGAGGGCCGCAGTCGGAAAATGCACTGAACTGTTTTTGATTGGTTATTAGGAGACCATTTTCCTCCGATCATACTACTACATGGTTAAGGTCATCCTTTAGAGACTGGAGATGAGTCTGACTTTTGAGAGGGTGTCCTACAACTTCATCATCAGCAGATATAACCAAATGACAGTTGTTGGGGATCTTAGAGCATCGTTGTGATTGGAAAAAAGGTGAGGGAATAGAATGGAACCTCGAATTGGGAAGGACAGTAGGCTTTCGCTTGCCAGATTGGACAAATTTAGTACGGGAAGTGAAATAATCGCCAAGCCAAGAGAGGAATCAGCCTGGAGAGCCGCATGCGATGTTTTGGTAAGAAGAAAAGGGTGCGGGACGGTTTTGAAGGCGGAGGAGTAGTCAAGAAAAAAAACATGCGTACTCGCGGCAAACCTTATCTAATTCTTTTAGGGCAGAGTGGACCATAAGAGTAATAGCATCTAAATTACTGAGTTTGGCTTTATATGCAAATTGTAGAGGAGCAGAGAAATTGGAAGTAAACGGCTTTGTAATATCTAAGGCTACTGTTTTAGCAAACTTTCTTAGTGCGGAAGAGCAGGCAATTGGACGCAAAAATTAAAAACAAATTTTAAGGGGGTTTTAGAAATTAGAGTGATTTTTAATGTACGTCAGGCGTCGAAAGTCTTTGATTCCATGAAGGACATATTAATAAAGTATGGGCTACCTGAGAACAACAAGATCTTGGAAGAAACGTTAGCTGTTGATCCACGGACCTTTTAAGGTGTTTTTTACTGTTGCCACATACACGGGTTGGAAGACACATGGTAATAGGGGAATGTCGTTTAAAGGAAGATGGGAGTCATTGTGACTAATGATAAAATCTTTGTTTAATGTGTCTAAATCAGCATCAACATGTAAAAGTGTGCTATGATGGTCAGTGAGATGCTTAAAATTCTTTTAAATTTCAACAGACGAAAGGAAAAGAAATGCGGGGGTGGAGTAAGAAAAGATCAGACTAACAAACGGATTATTTAGCCTGTCAATCTATGTTTTTATTAGGACCGTAACGTCATAAGGCTCTCACGTAAGCTTATCTTGTAAAGGAGTTCTTTTTCCGTCTTAAGACTTTTAAATAGAGAAAGAAATCCTATCCGGTCGCACCAGTACAGTATCAAGAAGACAGCAAATATCAAAAAATTTATTTAAAACGCTGTTAGGTTGGACGAACGTGACTAAACATTCGATTGTTTAAAGAAAGCGGGGATGGTATAAGATTTGCAAGTCTGAAACAGGCGAATGTTTGGTGCACACGTGTTGCGAAACTTAACATTTATCTCAGGCTTGGCTAACAGTGCACGTTTAGAAGTATACCAGGCTGCGAGGGACATGGTCTAGTGGACCTTATATAGCAGATGCTTACAAATCTTTAGTCCCAGAAGGGTGACAGGTGGCTCTGCATATTCCTGGACCGTCACCCTTCGAGGCTGGGTAAGAAAGCGGTTGTCGAATGAGGGACACAACCCATAAAGCACACACACACTCCTCATATGCGCGAGAGTACCACAGACGGCTCCGCCCTTGGCGCAACGTGATAGCCTCAGGTTCGGATCACGCATGCAGCCGCACGGAGAAGGAGCCAAAAAACACACTTCCCACTTGCGTGGGGGACGGCGACTGGATGTTTGTGATGGGTGATGGTACTGGGAGGTGCGGATGCTGATGAAGGAAAGTGTGATGGTGGGATGTAGCCGGCGGTTATCTACCGTAGGTTTTCCTGAACGCGTATGTCTCCCAATAAGCCCATGCGTCTTTAAGATGAAGTAATTGTACATCTCTGGTTTGGTATTAATTAACGGAGCCATGACGACACTATACGCAGGTATGCAGTCGGCCGAATGTTTAGCTGGCTTTGGAGACCTGGTGGGCAACCTCATTGTTGCTTGTGGTGCTGTTGAAAAGTATGCTTCCGGGATAAGCTAAATTGTCCACAAGTTTTAGTTGGTGGCCGTCGACAGCAATTCGAGGACTAATGGCATGTTGCGTGTTGGCTGACTACTGAGCATGGTCACCTTTTTGTCCCTGTTGATAGTCAGGCCGAAGTTGGTACACCCCGGCGGCGAGGAGATTCATACTCCGCTGCATGTCCACTTCGGTCGTGGTGTTGAGCGCACAGTCGTTGACAAAGAGCAGATCGGGGACCGTGGTCGTGTTTGGACCTGCATGCGCCTGCTGTTGCAAAGATCCTCGTCAGTTCCGTAGGCGATGCGTACCCCGGGACACTTATCACAGTGGGCATCCATCGACATGGTAGAGAACCTAAGACTGGATAGGGTAAGCGCGGGGGACGTAGATCTGCTTCACTTCATTGGTCACTGTGAATGCCCCGGAGATTTCGCCGCTATCCATGGCGCTCACCATCATCCCGTCGTGGAAGTGACGTACCGTATGCGTGAATTGTTTAGGACAGCCAAATGTCTGCATGATCTTTTACAGTCTCTCGCACTTTACCGCATCGGAGGCTTTCGCCAAGTCCACGAAGGTAATGTAGAGGTGGGTTTACATCTCCGGCACTTTTCATGTAGCTAGTGAATGGCAAACACTATGTCTGTAGCGCCCGGCGTCGTCGAAAACCGAATTGGCTTTCCGGCAGGATTTCTTGCTTGAGGTGTCTGTTGAGGCGATTTAGGAGGATGCGGGCAAAGGTATTGCCAGTAATGTTGAGTGGTGAAATGCCTCTGTGATTGTCGCAGACTGGCCTGTTGTCTCTGAGCTTCTAAAGATGAACAATGGTTGCGTTCTTGAAGTCCCGATAAACCAATTCACCGTTCTACATTTTTTGAAATAGCGTCGTGCGTTAGTCCATCAGGCGGTGGTCTCCGTGCTGGGATTGCATTGAGCCTGATGCTTTTCCCTGGAGATTTGTTGCACGGCACGCATTGTTTTTTTGGAAAGGAGACGGGGAGGTTCAGGTCAGCGTTGATTTTCACCTGGGGCAGCCGGCCTATGGAGACACCAGAAATTACGAAGGGGTTGTTGAGGACGTTTCTGAAGTGCTCGACCCAGCGCATCAGAAACTACGACTTCCCCGTCAAAAACATTGGTCTGTCCGTACTGAGAAGCGGTGCACTTCCTTTGGTCGGGGGCCATAAATCGCCGTTACTGCAGCTAAGAAACTATTTGAGTCACTACTGTCGACATACGCCTGGATCTCTTGGGCCTTGCGAGCTATCCAGATGTTTTACACTTTTCGCAACCGTTGCTAAACTAGGCGACGACATTGGCAACAGGTCTTTTTGTTCATATCGGTTAGGCTGTTAAGGAAGGCCTCATTATGCCTGTTCTTCTGGACCAGCAGGTGACTGATGACGGCGCCATTTTTGTCAAACCAGTCCTAGTGCTGACGACGTGAACGGTCGAGGACAACCAAAACGGTCGCGTGAACGGTGTTCTGTAGTCGATATCATCCAGTAACCACGGAGGCATTTTCATCTGCTGCTGGCAGGTCTTCCGGTCGCTTTTTTCAGTTTATTGCTGAAATGGAGATGGTGAGCAGGCAAAGACAACAAAGCATTAGCCAGCTTACCTGATGGTCATTTAGCTCACGGCATCCTGTGGGTTGCACACGGAGCATCATCCTAGATATGACAAGGCGGTTGTCCCACAAGCCATTGGCTTCGTAGATCGTCTTGGTCACCATCAAGTCCTGGTCGCCGAACGATAAGATAGTCCAGCAGCTGCCAACGTCACGGTGTTGGGTGCATCCAGGTGACCTTCTTTCGCATCAGCAAGCAGAAGAATGTGTTGGTCAGCAGGAGGCGGCGTACAGCGCAGATTCGTAGGAGGAGAAGGCCACTGTCGTTGAAGCCGGCGATTCTGTGAGGACCCAGCAATCCCCTCCAGACAGTAGAGTCTGTTTTGACGCGGGCATTGAAGTCATCGAGGACAATCTACACGTCCGCCTTCGGCAAAGACGTCAAGAGTGCGTGCAGGTCTTCGTAGAAATTCGACTTCGCCTTGTCGGAGCCGGTCATTGTTGGGGCGTGGGCGCTGCCGATGGTGGCAAATTTACCTGCCCAGAGAGGCAGACGGAGGCTCGTCAGGCGATCGTGGATACCCTGCTGCAGACGGGGCCGTCGTCTCACGATGTCGTTGCGGATAGCAAAGGCGAACACCCACGTCATATCGCTCTACCATGGGGCGACAGATCCAGAATAAGGTGTAGCCGGCACCTACCCCCTTTAGTTGATCTTTTTAGGAGAATCGAGTCACAGTGAGTGCAGTGATGTCCACTTTGTATAGCGCGAGCTCCTGAGCGACTAGTGTCGTCTTTCGTTTCGGCCGGTTGATCCTGAGATTGTCTAAAAGGGAATGAACATTCCAGTCGGCCAGATTGAGCGGACTCACTCTACCGGCCTGTGGGATGGGGCACCAGGGAAGGGGTGGTGGAAGAAAGAGAGTATTTCATATTGTCTTTTGGTTTCAACCGCATGTTAAGCAGTCTGTTATTCACGGTCTGCGCGCAGATTCTGCGAATAAGGCTTTATTCAGAGTATCTTTCATAGCCCCCTTCCCCCTTGCGGGTGAAAGCAGTGCTCTCCCTAAATAAGGCTCTATTGTAGCACCAGGCGGATACTGCTCTCCACTAGGGGTCAAGTACTTCAACGAGAGAACGACTAGTAGCCTGGGCCGCCTACTTGATTACTGCAAGTTTCGCTGTTAGCATTCCGACTGCAGCATAGGACAATAGAGTAAAGTGGAGAAGTGTGATGAACGGAGAAGTGCGGAGAGGAATAAAAATGGGCAAGACTACCGTGTATGGAGATGTACATACGGACTCCCTCACCTGGTTTGGCCCGCCGGCCGAGGTGGTTACCGGGTTGCGGCCGCTAGACAGAGCCTAGTTTTAGGTAGCCGAATGTGAGAGTGGGATGCCAGCTAATGGACGCTAGGCGTAGTCAACAATTGCAGGCAAGCGAGCCACCTTAAACGACCTTCACCTGGACCCACAACTTAACGACTCTACGCCCCCCATGTGATGACATCCGTTTGCTGAGAGCCGGTCTACGCTCGGAAGAATCAGGCTTTTTTATGAGCAGTTTGAACATTTAGTAGTATAGCAAGCAACGCAAACGAACAAATGGCAGCTCAGCATCTACCGCGAGCTCGCCGGTGCGGGTACAGCACCGATGACTTGCACGCGAGTTAATTTATAACTGGTCAACCTTGACAGTATGTTATTACCGACAAAGACAAGGGAGACTGGAATGGCTATTTCTGGCTTATTGGCCGTCGACAGCCAGTCACACCCAACCCCGAAGTGTGGAACACCCGAGGCTCGAACTCGCGACGTGTTAGTTAGAAGTCCACGTCTCCAACCACTGTGCCACGAGCCCGTTAGAGACGTGGACTTCTAACTAACGGGTCGCAAGTTCGAGCCTCGGGTGTTCCACACTTCGGGATTGGGTGTGACTGGCTGACGACGGCTAATGGGCCAGGAATGAACATTCCGGCCTCCCTTGTCTATGTCGGTAATAACATACTGCCTATGTCGTGCGCCGCTGTGCGTCTGCTGTTTGGGCTCGAGAAAGAGCCCGTATGGCACAACGGAACGAGTGAGTTCCGCCCACCATTGGTCAGAAATGGGCAGCAGTTGTCGCGCGCTCCCTCGTCAACCTTGAACGATTGCGGGAGAGAACCAGGACGCTCGGAGGTAGGCGGGCACCCGGTGGCTAATAAAACTAAACAGGACATGTACGCATGTCATACGTGTCCCGACCTTCACAGCATGCGCCAGACTACACTACGCGATATCATACTCGTGAGCGTGCATTGGGGTTTGCCTGAAATGCCTGCGTCGTGGGCAGTAAGGGTGTTGCAGTCCCAGCCTCATTTCGAAAAGCCGCCAGGTGTCAGGCTTTACTCACACGAGGATCGAGTTCTCCTCTCATTTGGAAACCTTCCCAGATGGGATTATTGGAAGGCAATGACCAATCCATCGGATTTACTATTAGCGAAGTGCCGCGAGAATGAATTTTCTCTACCCTCAATCTCACTTGCTTTTCCACCTATCATGTAACTGTCAACTATCCGAACCTGTCAAGTAGCTGTTGATAATAGTGGACGCAGTGTTTGATAAGGAGTCTGTCTCCAGTCTAAAACCTCGCCGTCATGCACATTTACCGCAGTAGCTGAGGCCTCCGGCAGACTCGTCAGAGTTCTTAAAAATAGGTGAAAAACCAGTTAGTGCGTGCAATTTCCCACGCCCTACTCCGCTATCCCCTGACCTGGCTCCTCCCAATACCCTCCCCTGCCTCATCGATCAGCAGTGCATGACAGATCTTATTTAACGTTAGCTGAAATTCTGAAATGCGTTTTATACAAGAAAGGAGTACTTAAGTGGAATTGTAAGACTGATCATCTTCAGAAATTATCCCATGATATTTCAGAAACGTCAGCAGGTTGGCCTCCGAATACGCATCTTTTCAGCTACCGGAAAGAAAGCAGAGTTGGTGACAATGACTACTTTACTGATGCGCGTTTTCTTCTATTGGCTTTCTATGATTTTATAGACGCAGGGGTAGTTTGAAGAAAAAAACCCCAAAACATTCCTTCATGCATGCATTTGGCAGCATATCGCCATTTGTCAAATTATATACTAAACGAAAGGGTATTTTTGGTTTTAAAGAGGTTTCTTATTATGCGATTTTCAAGACCGTGCAATCTGAATTCGAGTGGAATCGTATTTGTATGTTTAATAACGTTCCAGGTTATGTACACAACATTGTCCATACCCATTGCAGACTTTAAGAATCCCATGCACTTTCTTCTCAATGGCTTATATGAATGCACGTTTTTCATTCAACTGACAGAAAACAACTTGTAGACCGAAAATCCTGAATGCAAATGTAACGGCAGATCGAACTCAAAATTCTCTGGAAATTTACAATTAGTTTTAATCCAAAAGCTATACTTCCTTTCAGCAAATAAAGTCAAGAAGACGTGATTGATACTAAATGAGTACAAAAAGAATACTTTGAGCATTTTCTTCACAAAAGATATTTTCATGTATGAATTGGAAAACAGGCATCCCAAGAATCATAATTCGAAAGAAAACAGCTCTTTGGGATATATTAAACAAGTTTTATTGTAAATTTTCGAACTTGGTTCCCCAAGTTGTCTTCAGACGTGAAGTAAGTGTGCAACACAGTTAACATTTAAACATGCCGAAAAATCGATTTTGCCTTGTTACTCCTGCTGGTGTGATGTTCTGATTGGCTAACGCCTTTTCCACTTTTCTTTGAGGCTGTTGTACACCGTATGCAATTCTTCGTGTCGATTGATGCACGCGCTGTCAGAATCGATGGGCTCTAAATATTCACGGCCCTTTTTGATGAGCATGTATGTATATCAGCATTGAAAGTCAATGGAAAAGTGCGTGCTAGTTAGGTAGTTCTTTTTTGGACCAAGTGCGGATTTCAGGCGACAGGAAGGAAGTGCATTCGAAAGCAAACACCCTGACATGTCTTGAAATTCCTGGGATTATTTCCCAAGGTAGTCATTGTTACAACGCCATCTAAGTGAGCCTTCTCACTCGAAAAGACACTTACGAACTGCAGTTAGCATTTCATGAGATCAGCCACTGAGTGTAGCTTGACAATTTATTCCTCTACTTCCCCTCCCGTATTAGCCTTTTCTTTCTTGTGTGACTAGATGAACACGCATGCCATAAGTCACCTCTTTATCGAATTAATACACTGGTCTAAAGAGTTTTTATGAAAAACAAAGATCTATTTTTGAAACTTGTGTTTCGAAACCTACCCTGGCAATTTTGTCAACGTTAAAAACTGGCTAATTAAATATGCCATTCAAATGCCCGGGGGAATCGTGGTAAGGAACATAGTTCGAGCCGTCGGAATGGAGATTTAAGAAAAACCAACAAGTCTGCGAACCCTGCGATAGGGTACCTTCAAGATTACCTTTATGGCCTGAGTTTGCAGTACATGTGAGGTAAAGACGAAGGAAATAGCATTTACACCGGTCGAAGGATTTAGAAAATAAGATTGAATCTCAGGGAAACGGGCTAGGGCTGCCTAGCCGAAACCTCCTCGATAAAACTGGCAGGAATTCCCGCTAAGTTTTTTGTTGTGTCTTCGTGATGCTGGACTGAGTACCGACAAAGACAATGGGCCATTTCTGACTTGTTGGCTGTCGTTAGCCATGCATTATCGAACTGCATATATTACAGGTCGGTGTGCGACTACCTGCAAGTGCTCGACCCAGTAGATTTCTTACGTTGCAGTAGTGTAGGTGAGTAACTTGACCCAAATGTAATTAAACTCACGGACCATCTTTGGCCCTCGTAGCTCAGGTAATAAAAACGCTGACCGCACTTAAACGTTGTCCTTTCTGCCGTAGACCTGAATCCCACCGAAGTCACGGATGTTTTCACAATCCGATCAATTTAATTATGAAAATCTACCAAAACATATACGAATAATATTAAAGGTCATATGTGTGTCTTCATAGTTCGCCTTTGCAGTCTAATGGGTTTTTCTGTCTCTACTTTTTTTTTTAATTACATGAAAATTCGTCCTTCCTTGTGGTCCTTTCTGTCTCTTCCAACTATTTGGTATCCTCGTTGTGTTACCCCAATTGCTGACAGTCTGTGACAGCCACGTTTCTGTTACTGATATATTATCTAGAAAAATATCGGCTGTCCGTATTCTCAGTTCGTCTAGTTTCAAAAACCGACAATGAGCATTGGTATATAGGAGTTTTAATTCAAAACATTCGTAATTGTGTAATCCAGTTGGTCTTGAGCTTGTTACAACTAGGTTGTTGCTGCTAGTCTCCTTTTCATTTCCGTCAATGCGCAAGCAAAACGCCGAAGCTCTGAATAAAAAGTGTTCGAATTCCAATTTTTCAATAAAAATTTTGGAAGTTTGAAGACCGGCTAACATGTTTACTAAAACACACTCTGTTTTTACCCCGGTCGTAAACGTCCGTGGGTGTTCCATGTCACACAGACTCTTTAAACAGATTCGAACAATTTTGATCGCTTGGCTGCCTTCAGACTCAAGAGGTATAATGCGTGGTATTTGACGCGCCACATTATATTGCATTGTCTCCTATAGTGTCTGTATATCTAAGGCCCACTTCGGCAGAAGAAAACGGCGTTCAA